CGGAGTGAGTTTTAAGCCACCGGGTCTGGGACGCGAACCGCGGTCGACTACATGGGAGTCCAGGGACATAGCCATTACGCTAACTGCTGGTCCCAGACCTATATTCTTAGGTTTGGTTCTTTGAATATTTTTATACACAGGCATCAGATTTTACTTACTCATGGCACATGACTAGGATAGCAGTATAACTTCCATCAAACATAGTTTTATGACTTTTATAGCACCTACTGGTAGTTGTACATAGGACTTCCAGCTTTGAACCACTGCCAGTTAAGTCCTTTTATTACAAACTATTGATTTAACCAAGGTGCAGTAAAATTTAAAAACCTGTACTTTCTGAGATGGTACTTTAGGAATCAAGCTTCTTGGTTACTTATTAAACCTAGGTTGTCTACAAAATGATGTAATCTAAGAATCTTGCCAACTATGGAACCAAGGAAATGCATCTTAGTAGTGGCTTCATATTTAAAAGACGACCAGTGAGACCAGCAGGTGGCACAATAGTCACATTCCTGGACTCCCATGTAGTCAACCACGGTTTGAATTCCGGAACCGGTGGCTTAAAACTCACACTAGGTGCATGTGCGTGCTTGCCCAATATCCTGAGAGAAGAATAGAGGAAAAGGCATTGAGGCGTGACTATCCCCCCTGGGGGGTGATTTCTCATTTTCTGTCTCTCTGTCTCTCCAGTGAGCACACTTGCCCTATAGCAAAAATCTCTCAAAAAAGAAAAAAAGATGACCAGCTGACACCATTTTTACAATAAGATGTCAATACCACAACTGCTTTCTATACTCCATCCAGTTCAAAGTTGGAAATAACATACCATCAATGTTCAGATTTTTAAAAGGCACAGAAAAAATCCCCTATGTTACAATTAACTTTGTTTTCATCTTCTTGGCCACCCTGTAACATAACAGAGTTAACAAAGCATACTCTCTTATGAAATACTCCCCTATCCTCTGGTAGTGAGGCACCAAACACCCTCACACTCTTGGGTTCTCCCACCGCCTTACTGGACTCTTATTCTCAGAGTGCTTTGCTGGTGTTTGCACTGGACACGATCAGAGGTTTCTTTTCAGTCTATAATTCCTCCCCAGGTGATCTCTTCCAGTCCCATGGCTTTATTATAATATCCTTGCTATTTATGCAGAAAACTCTTCTCCAACCCTAACATTTTACCTGAGCCACAATTGCATATTCAACTGAGAATTTAGTATCTCTAATTAAATGACCATTGGGCATCTCAAACTTAGTATGTCTTAAGTAACAAGATGCATTTCCATCCTTCTCTACTATCCACTATTCTTCTCCCATTCTTCTTAATTACACTACCTTCCAGCCAAGCCAACAATTCACTAATCACCTGTGATTCCTCCCTTTTCCTCACCCACGTTTCCAACCTTTAAGCACATCCTAATCTCAACATCTTAAATATATATTTAATCCGTCTACTCTTTGCCACCTCTACTCTTGTCCAACTCTGACTCTAATGGCACCCTATTATCTCTCGGCTTCCCCTCTCTGAACAACAGGACGTCAGTTTTTCTTTACATGAAAATCTTATCACTACCCTTCCCCAAGTATCTAATATACTGTAAATGCACCATTACTTAGAATAAAATCCAACTGTTGGTGACCTGGCTCTTTCCACCTCTCCCATTGGACCACTTCTCCCTCTCACTCACTTTTGTATAAGTGCCAAAATCAGGTCCTCAAGTCCTTTACACTGTTTAGTTTCTCTGCCTGGAAGTTGCCCTTATTCTTCATATCTTTGTTCAAACTTCATCTCTTCAGAGTCTCTGCTCTCATATATAGTTTAGCGTTCATTTCCATCACAACGAACATCACTACCAAATAATAATTTTTGTATTCCTATATCTTCCAACTCCTACCACTAGCATTTAAGTTTCATGTGTGAAATATTTCCCTTTTTTTAAGTGCATTTATTTCTTTTATGACAGAGCCTTCACAGTAGGGTCTCAATGCCAACATCGAGCCCGGCCTTGAGTCAGTCCCAGATCATGCTGAGTTTGTGCCTCGTGAACTCAGAAAACCACCAGGACTTGAACGAGAAACCTTCCAAGTGGGATTGTCTCATATAGCAACACATTTTACTACTGTGCCACCATCTGAACTGAACGCAAGAAGTCTTTTTCTGTCTTTTCCACCACTGTGCTCCAAGGTACTGGATTTTTTTTCCTACGAATTTTATTTTATTTTTATTTATTTTTATATTCATTCACTGTATATCATTACAGCATACAAAATAAATTTTCCCACCCAGAATACACTGAATATTGGCCCAACCAAAGATAATACCATACCTATTATCTTCAACAGATAATTTTCCATTGCGAGTTTCTTAACCATTTTACTTCTTTCTTTTTTTCCCCCTTGATTCTCTTCCTCTCACCCTTCTCTCACATTGTCTCTGGTGTCCACAGTTGCTCACCATACTTATATATTGTCTAATATTTCAGTTTCTGCCACGAAGTGCAGTACTGGTTTTAAAACATAGCAGTCTCATGTAGAAACTTAATAAAATATTTATTAAAAATAAATAAAAGTTTGAAGTCCATCCTCCTGATACCAATAACCACCACAAGAAAAAACCCTTGTATTCCTTTTCTTTTCATGTCAAATTTCATCATCTTAGAGAAACTTCTTGATTTGTGTGCTACTCTTTAATTTTAGGAAATAGTCTATTATAATTTCTAGTTTCTCTGTATGTCAGCTAATAGGTGTGAGTCAAAAATGCAAAGGTGCTCATGAAATCATAAAGTTTACTTTTATTTTTACTTCTGAGACAATTCAAGAGCAAAAACTCTTCTCTATAAAGTCAAATGCAATTTACACTCATTAAATTATGTCTCTTTTCACATAATAGAATTATAATAGTCTAAGTAATTTGAGAAAAATCTCTAGCTTCTAGCAAGATTTGCTATATTTTTCAAGATACATTATCTAAAATTATTGACAGTTTCTAAAGCTTCAAAGCCATGCTTTTGGAACACTAAAAATCTGATGTGACATCATAGATGTTAGCAGAGAAAACCTGAATGCATTCTTCTATACTAATTATATTATTAATTTCATAAGGACAAAATATTAATTTGATCAGTGGCAATACATTCTGGTAGTTAATGGTGGTCCACAATTAAAATACAAGCAAAGAGTCCCCTGGCTTTGCAGCCCCCGAACCAGGTTGAAAGTAAACAATCCCCAATAGTTTTGGATCAAAAAAACTACGGGCTTGTCCCCAAACTTCCCCAAAAAACCTACCAGATTTTCCCTGTTAGAATAAATTTATATGTAAGGGGCAGAAAAGAAGGTTAAAAGTGTAGATTTTCAATATAAGTTCAACATTAGGCTCTGCCTCTTACTAGTCTTAGAGCATCATATGACATGTTTCTGTCACCAATATTCACTGAGCAAACTCTGCCAGATGCTCTACTAGATGCTAGGACTATAAAAGTGAAGCAAGATTTGGTCCTTAATTTCAAGTAGTTTGGACACAGTACTCTCCTAGATAAAATGGAAATAATAATGATAATAATGCTGATACTATTGATGAGCAACAAAGACAAAGTAGACATCACACTTTCCACAAAAGAAAAGACTCAATAAATAATGTATCTTTTTTATAAATTTCAAACAAGTTACACTAAGTCAGGGGCTATGTGATTTCTCCCTAGCAACTAAAATAACTCTGAAATAAAAATTTAGACTCATTGAATTCCATTGGCAAGAATCATGCTATAACTATTGACTTGGGCATAAAATGAATAATACTAAAAAAAAAAAAAAGTTGTTTGCAATTTTTAGTGTGCCTAGATTTATTCGATGAGTGTTTCATAGGCTTCAGGTTTTTAATTCAATTAAAAAGTACATAACTACATTATATTGATTTAATTTACCAACCAAGAGATGTTTTAATGCAATTGCTTCAGCACGTTGCCATTACAAACTCAAATACTATAAAAACAGTCAGATTAGTGTATATTCAATGCCCATTGGAGAGTCAAAGGATTTTTTTTTTTAATTTTTAGATCTCCACTTCTAAGCAATTAACTGGTTAAGTCTAGGAATATAGCCAAATAGTATTATTCTGCTTCACAAAGAATTACTATACTTATTCAGCAGTACCTGAGACTCTTAGAGTGTAATAGAACTACTTTATGACTATCTTAAAAGGTAATTTCTTATCTTCTCATTCAGTAAGAGATTATATCACTATTCAAAAGCCAAACCCATTACCAGTCTTCTAACTATAAGTGTGCTAATTACTTGAAATGATGTAAGAAGTACCATTAAAAAAGGCAATAAATTGTCAGTTCTTCTTAAGCCATAATTTAATAACCCAATATTTCCACATCAAGTTTCTAAGTTAGAGTTATTTGTAAATATAATAATGATTATAAATAAATAAAAGGGAATAAATCATAAGCTTAACCCCTCAAATCGGTCTTGATATGTTCATTAGCATTGAGGATCAAGTGTGATATTCTATATAAATGATTCTGTAACATGCAAAGTGCTAAATGATTGTACAGAATTATCATCCCCAGATCATCTCAATAACATCAGATATTGTTGTCACAGTGTTACATATGTTAACAACTGTAGAGGTGGCCAGGAAAAATATCTTCATATCAAATTGAAAGGAAATGAGATTTTAATCAGAACAAAATCTCTTGTCTTCCTCAGTAATGAAAGCAAAACATAATGCATAACTCCTTTCTCCTACATAGGGGAAAACAGCTTTTTAAAAATCACTAAAAGGCAAATACCCATTTTATTAAATCCCTAAACAAAATGCCTTTGACAACTACTTATTATCAACAAGCATTCAGACACACTCTCCCACACATAAAACCCAAAGTTCTGTCTTTTTCAATACTTTATCAATTCATCTGAGTGTACATGGGAAAGCCTAAGTTCACTACCATACCTCTTTCCTATTTTTAATCTCCCTTATAACAGAGAAAGTATACTACCGGACTGACAGTAACTGCAGAGACATGGAGTTGGCCCTTGACGGTCTGTTGAGGAAAGGTATATCTAAATATTGCATCTGAACTTGCAAAAACAGAAGAGCCAAGTATGTTTCCCCACATTGCAGAATATCACCCTCAGCAAGTTGGGAGGACAACGTCACAAGCCCTGTTACAAGGCTGTGGTCTTCAGCTAAGCTCTGGAAAACACAAAGAATATGGATTTTGAATGGATTTGCAATAGCAGACTCACTTTTCAATACGTTCTGAAGGGAGTGCTCTATTAGGAAAACTAAAGACACATACAGAAATAAGAGGAAAAAAAGGCAACCAAGAAAATGACCAATTTAATGCTAGGGACAAGAAATATCATTAATAATGCTAAATGTAGACTTTCAGGGTTTAAACAGAAAGATTGGATCACAGCAACACCACATATTCAACAGAAGAGAGTTTGTACATAAGACTGAATTGGCAAAATAGAATTTTATGACTTTTGAGTAAAACATTACTGATTTCTCTTTTTGACTATGCTTTGTTTTCCCAATTTAAACATTTTACTTTCTTTTGAGTTGGTGATAGGTTCAGCAATTTGTTAAAATATTTTTCTTATTTGTTTCTTTAAATGGAAACATAAACTTTTCTTCCTTCCAAATCCCTCTTGAATTGGAAATATTTGGGAGTATTCTTATTTTGTGGCAGAAGGGTTATTTGCATAAGTTCAGTAATGCTTGTGGCATTGAATTAGAAATCGGAAATGCTCATTATTGGACGGGGCTTTGACTGGAATGTCACATGTGAAGATTAATCAGAAAACTATGAAATGAAGGTGGATCTCACGTAAGCTAACAGAAGCTCTCAGAAAGATGGCCTGGTACCATAAATACTTCTGCCTGGCAGAGAGAATTAGAGAAGCTATATGAAAGAATTTATTACATAAAATAACCTAGACTTTTCCAGTCCAGCATTGTAATCAGTAAAGATTGCAAAAGAACAACCACACCAGAGGATTTACCTTGAGAAAAACTTTGAAGGAAGAAAAAGAGACTGATCTTTGCTAACAGAAGGAACATCACAGAATGCTTCAGAAGACTTGGTATACAGGGCTAAATTGAGAAGGTTTATGGGTGACTAGTGTGCTGGGCATTTGTTTTTCAACAATTTGAGTTGTTGGCACGTAATTATTTCCTCAAAAATATTTAAACCACACTGTTTTCTGTTGTTAGAGAGTCACAAGCAAAATTATACAAAATTATAAGAAATATTTTGAACATTATCTTTAAAATTCAGTATTTTGAAATCTTGAGAGTTGTTTATTAGCTCTCAAGAAGTATGGAGTATGAGCAAAAATTGTTTGATATGTACCATAAGTGTCTGTGGAAAAATGGAAAAATGAATGGATTAAAGAGAAAAAAAAAAAAAAAAAACGATTAGTGCTTGCCAGAGGCTGTGGGGTGGGAGAGAAGATTAGGTGGAACACAGACTTTTAGGGCCATGAAACTATCCTGTATAATACTATAATGGTGGAGACTTGCCATTATCCTTTGTCCAAATCCAATCATTCTTGACCAACTCTCAGTGAACCACAAGCTATGGACTTCGGATGATAATGTTCCATTATGTAACTAATGCATCACTCTGGTCAGGGATCTGGATAATAGAGGAGATTATGCATGTATGGGGACAAAGGAGTATTTGGGAAGTCTCTGTACATTCCCCCCAATTTTGCTACAAATGTAAAAGAAATAAAGTGTTTTTAAAAATGGGGAAAAAAAAGAACATGTGAAACCCACTTTTATGTAGTGTTCATACGTGCCAGAACTTTTTGTAATCTGTATTTACTATTTACATGTAATCACTATACACCTTAACAATGCACAACATGGTTGTTCCCAGCATGAATACAGTGCCTGTCAGTCATGACAAAGACATATACATCAGCAGCAGCAAATAACTTCATTTTTGTGTCAATTAAATCTATTGTTTGTTTTTTCCCTGTTCCCCTCTCTCCCCTCCTCTTATTACCCATCCTCTATTAATCCTCTCTTATTATCTCTAGTATCTACAGTTTCCCAAACTGCTATTATACCTTTCAGTTTCTACTATAGAGTACAGGCAATTGGTATATACCGAGTGGGGACATATCTGTCTTTCATACTCTGGCTTGCTTTGCTTAGCATTAAATCTTCCATACTCATCCACTTTGTATCAATGTCAGTGTCTCCCTTCTTTTTATGGCTGAGTAGTATTCTTTAGATTACATATGCCACCTTTTTTTCAATCCACTCATCTATTTTTGGACATTCAGATTGATTCCATTTCCTAGCAATTGTAAATAATGCTGCAATAACCATGGATATGCAACTGTTTTTCCAGTTGAGGGTTTTCCCTATCATCTGGGTAAATACCTAAGAGTGGAATTACTAGGTCATATGTGTCCCACAACTTTTAAGTCTGACAAAACCTACAGACATTTTCTAATATGACACCAAATTATGATCTACTGAATATAATATTATCAAAGAATGTGAACCTTTTTAGTGTAAATTTAGGCAAATCTCTTTATGGAGCAACATAAACAGTTTTTCCTATATCCAAGAATGAGACAATGAACTAGGCAATACCTCATGGTCTTCACATTCCTGTATTTTCCTGTATTATCAGAATGTTTTATTCTTTGCAAACCTAAACCAAACTGATACTGCCTTTTCCCAAAAGTCAGTTTATTCTCTGGTCTGAGGTGTAATTTTTAATCCTAGAGTGATCCAATAGTGCAATTTTAGAAAACAAGTTTTGCGTGAAGAAGCCTGTGTTTCACTGTCAGAATGTTACAAGAGATGACAGTTTATAATCCCATAGACACAGCAAAGGATGTTCACAGATCAGGAAATCTGGAAAAAAAGGCATCCAGGGCTCTACACATGATGACTAGCCAGTCACAAATTTATAAACTATAACAAGCATTTTGACCTTGAAGTCACAACATTTTCAAGGTTCTATTGATATTATATTTTCTTTCTTCCTTCCTTCCTGTCTTCCTTCTTTTTCTAATTTCACTAAAGGATGTATGTGCTCATCAGAGAAAGACAGAAAGAAAGAGGGAAAGTCAGAATGCAGCCCCCCTCCTACCATGGTGTACAGTAATGCCTCAATCCCTTCTGCTTCATTTTTCTCTTCTTTTGGCATTTTGGACATGCATGCACACAGGCACAGCGTGTTTCTTAAGCTGTGGGGTTCAGGATTTGAACCATCCAGTTGGTCGTGTGGGTTCTAGCTGATTTAACAATCATGCCACTGGTTCTATTTTATTTTTTGTAAATATGGAAATGAGATCCCAGGGGACCAGCAGTTAGCATAATGGCTATGTCACTGGACTCCCACGTAGTCGACCACGGTTCGAGTCCCAGACCCAGTGGCTTAAACTCACACTGGGCGTGTGTGCATGCGTGCCCAAGATCCCGAGAGGAGAATGGAGGAGAAGGGATTGTGGCATGACCGTCCCCCCTGGGGGGTGATTTCTCACTTTCTATCTCTCTGTCTCTCTCTGTCTGTCTGGCAATCACACACGCTCTATAGAAAAAATAAAAATAAAAGAAGAAATGAGATCCCAGAGTCTGAGGAAAGTCATTCAATTCCAGAGTATCCTAATAATATCTGGGGATGGAAGGATAAGTCAAGCACAGACCTTTCAGGGGTAAAGATGGACAACGGGACATGGCATATCAGACTTCAGACCTAGGGGGAAACAAGGTTAGATGAGACCTGTAGGGGAGTCAAGTGGGTTACCCATTTGAGAGTCATCAGCATTTGAGCGTTAAGACTGAGAGGCACAAGGACATCTGCCAAGAAAGAATCTGACATTAGTAGAGCTATAGAAGAAGCAAAATCTCCATGGAAATGCTAATATTTAAGGAGAAGCAGTGGAAAAGATGCCTGCCAAAAACATAGAGCCATGAGAGGTGCCAGGCTGTGAGAGTTAGATACCCAGTAGTGATAGCCAGGTGGGAGGGAATTAATTAGCAGTGGCAGATGCAATAAAGAATAAAAGGATAGAAAACTACTCATTAGGGTCAGCTTGATGGCCTGGTGGTTAAGAATGCCTGATTCCAAATGACCATCCAGTGGTTAGAATTCCAACACCTGCAGCTTGAAAGACACTCCAGGTGTACGTACAAGTAAGCTTAAAATCCCAGCAGAGTAGAAGAATGAAGGAGAAAAAAGTACAGAATGACCATGCCCCATTAGAGAGTGCTTCCCCTCTGTCTCTCTCTCTGTCTCTTTCTCTCTCTCTCCCTCTCTGCTGTGTGCACATGGCCCCTAGCAAATTAAAATAAAATGAATTATTTAATTAAAAAAAAAACTACTCACTAAATGTATATAGAATGACAGAGGATGGGTTAAAAGTAGCCTCATTTGGGACCAGCAGTTAGCATAATGGCTATGTCGTTGGACTCCCACGTAGTCGACCCCAGTTCGCATCCTGGACCTGGTGGCTTAAACTCATGCCGGGCACATGTGCGTGCGTGCGTGCCCAAGATCCCGAGAAGAGAATGGGGGAGAAGGGATTGCGGCACGGCCATCCCCCCTGGGGGGTGATTTCTCGCTTTCTATCTCTCTGTCTCTTTCTCTCTCTCTCCCTCTCTGCTGTGTGCACATGGCCCCTAGCAAATTAAAATAAAATGAATTATTTAATTTAAAAAAAAACTACTCACTAAATGTATATAGAATGACAGAGGATGGGTTAAAAGTAGCCTCATTTAAAGGCCTCTGTTTTTCTACAAATTAAAAGGCACTGCAACCTATGGAAAATCTGAATAGAATCTTAAAAAGTGTGGCCAAGTTTGTGACAGCCACTGAGGGGAACTGCTTAATAAAAAATGTTCTAGGCTACTATAGGAAAGAAATAATAGTTTACTGCTTTTTAGTATATGTGCTGCCAAAGCGAGCACTAGTTTACTGCCTTTTATTGGGTCACCGGAAAAGTCATGACCTATTTTTCTTTGCAAAAATGTGTCATGACTTTTTCAAAGACCCAATATTTATTTATTTTAATTGTTAGAAGGCATGCGTACTTGCCAGAGAGAGAGAAAGAGAGGCAAAAAGCACCACCCCAATGGGTGTGGTCACACTGCAATCCCTTCTCCTCCTTTTCTCCAT